TTATCAGTAAATAAAGCTGCAGGAACAAAAATACGTTTGAAAGTCGCTGGAATGTTCTTTGCAATGCAGGTCCTAAATTGGGATCTGGGTACAAGGCGCTATGGGTAAGGGATATTGAAAAATGCGTAAAAAGATATCGTTGTTTTATTTGTATTACATACAAAACAAAACAGCGCGTAATACTTGTACTCTCACGAGCTAAAAACCTTCAAAGTAATCCCCCAAGACGTCCACACATCTTTGCCAACAATGACGAAGGCGCTGAAACCCTGAATCAGCTATGTGTGATGTGTCTATGCCCATCACCTCTCGCCGATGCGCTGTTAGGATGTCCTTCCTGTCTGCAAACGCTTCCCACGCAGCCACGTCATCATTTTTGGAGGGAGATCAAAGTCGCACGGACTGCGATCAGGGGAGTACCGGGGGTGTTCCAAGATCTCCCAAGTATCCTTTACCCATAGCCCATACGCAATTTAGTACCTGCATTGCAAAGAACATTCCAGCGACTTTCAATCGTATTTTTGTTTCCTGCAGCTTTATTTACTGATAAAAAATAGTTGCCATGACTTCTGAAATGACCCTATTATTAATATTATTATTATTATTATTATTATTATTATTCCTCTAATTAACGACTAAAGATGTTATGAGTCGGTTGAGTATAAAAGTGTGCGCAAGGTTCTGGACACTACTGCAGTGCGGATTGCTGCATCATCATTGTGGAGTATTGTACTTTTGAGAAACCCTGGACGTTTCCTTCGCTGTGTACGACGCAACGTGTGCACCACAAATGATTTTTAGTGCATGGCAGAGACGGTATGCCCCTCGCGAAGAGGCTGACACTCGAGAATACCATGGTTGTCATAAGCATGAGCTTCATACGCGATGGATTCTGTCGAAACATTTGTTTTCGTGGCTCACCACTACGACGCCATTCATTTAATTGTCTCATTATTTCCTGTTCATACACTCGTGCGCACGTTTCATCAATTGTAATAATATGATTCAAAATCTAATTTCCTTCATGTTAGAATCGCTCCAGATTGATACTGTAACCGTTGCCTATCTGTGGTTGAGATAACAACGCTACATTCAAATAGCGCGGGCAGTGCCCTCTGCAAGAGAACCCGTATTTATATACTTTCTGAGACATTTGAATTGTAATGTCCGTGGCGAGCGACCGGTAGGGACTGTAGTGCGAACGAGGAGAAGGTTTTGAGACGCGAGAGAGGAAGGACGGGAAAAAGTGTGCTATTGGGGAGTGGTGGTGAGTGTGGTGAGAACGAGAAAGAGAAATGGACACTGAAGCTGCTGCGCCGAGCTTTACGGGCGTCCATTTTTCTGAAACTACATTGCCGTGTAAGAACCAGGATCTGCGCGGACACAGATATTCGGCGACACCAGACCGCTGGCCATCGCAAGCTTAGCGTCGTTGGGTGAGGCAAGGCCCTGAGAAGAGGTCAGTAACAATTGTCTTTCATACATATTTTCTTCTTATCTTTCGCCACGAACGTACAGTGATTGCGAGAACCACCGAGTTCGCTCAGTTCTCAAAGACGTAGAAGGCTCTAGACAGTGTTTTTGTAGTGCCCAAGCCACTCCATAATGTGTGCGTTCAGTGGTTGCATGTTATACGTAGCATCATCTAGTGTAAATGGCGGTCATTAGGCCCTGTGTAAGAAAAAGTTAAATGCTGAGAGTGACAAGCGAATGTCATAAACAGTGCTCAGAATGTTCATTGTAACTTTAACTTTACAAACTGTGCTTGATATTCCCACCCCATTTTTTATGATTGTCAAAGTGGTAAAATAATTGTATAATTGTATGTGAATTTGTTGATTTGTTATTTTTTCCTCAAGAGGGAAGAGCCATTTTGTTATATTGATTTTGTTATTGTAAAAATGGCAACTTTGTGTTTTTGGTTTGTTTAAGAATATATGTATTTGAGTTTGGAAACTCTCTGGAGACGTACTTCCGTTCCTAAGACGAGAAAGAAAGATCCACATTCCTAAAAAAAATATATTTTCATACTTTTTTACTGCTGATTATGAACAGTTTTAAACCCGTAATAGTAAAATAAAGTTAGAAGAATGTGTCAATATGGCATATCCCGTATCGAGTTAATTTTTGCAGCTCAGCTAAAGCGTGTGGGACTCAGTGTTACCAGATGTGTTTAGAGGGATTCCGCCATGTTCGTTTCAGTTTCCGCCGAAAATCCACTGAACTGGTTTTAAATTTCCCGCCTAAATCCGCTAAACGTAAAATAAATTATTTTTCCATATTTAAATATTGTATTAATTTATTCTATTAAAACAAACGATAGAAAATAATGATAGAAAAGGACAAATGCTTATGAATGCATGAAATAGATAAGGACAATTGCTTATTCTTGGTCATAGCCGCCGTTATTGGTGTATTCGAGTCCCAATATTTTAAAGTAATATTAAAGGACGCACTTTTGTAGACTGAATTGTCTTTTATTATTATTTTAAAATGTTTCTGCTTGAACACGCTGTGTGTCCAGGCCTTAATAGTGAAGATTTGAAATACCGATTATTTCCCACCGTCTTTATTAATTTCCGCCGTTTATTCCACTGTCCGCGAAACTAATTTTTTTTCGCCGTACGAGTTAAAAATCCGCTGAAAACGGCGGGAATTCCGCCGATATGGCAACACTGGTGGGACTGGACAATTGGACATGTGTCCAATTCCTCCACAGTTCAATGTCTTTCATCTGCCAAACAGTGTTCGATAACAGCCACTTGCACCTATGCTCCGAGACCAGACGCTGAACGTCCCCTGCGAGGCAGGTCAACTGTTCCACGCGTCCACGTTTGAAGGCCTCCACCTGACGAGCAACAGTTCTCTAAAACCCAATGCTTCTCGTAGCCACGCAGAAATGCAATTTTTACATTTGCTCGCCGTTCGACTTTTGTGACATCCAAGTCAAAACACCATCTCAAGGATACTAAACTTTGCATGTGTTGTCTATTAGACACCAGTGCCCTAAACGTCATCTGTGGTCTCATCCCGTACAATGAACAGCATGTTTTCAAATGTATACAGAGCAATAACCGCATATGCGGTTATTCGGAATATATAAAATAGTTGCCATGACTTCTGAAATGCCTCTAGTAATGAATTGAATGATAATGATGATAATAATGTTAATAGATAATATGTTTAATGATAATAATAGTTAAAGATAATTAATAATGTTTATAGATAATAATGTTAAATGATAATAATGTAATGATAATAAGTAATAATGATAGTAAAATTGATGAATAGTAAAATTGATTGATAGTAAAATTGATGATAGTTAAAATTGATGATAGTAAATTGAGTGATAGTAAATTGGATGATAGTAAAATTTGAATGAGTAAATTGATGTAGTAAAAAATTGGATGGTAGTAAAATTGGAGTGGTAGTAAAAATTGATGGGTAGTAAACATTGATGGTAGTAAAATTGGATTGGTAGTAAAATTGATGGTAGTTAAAATTTGGATGGTAGTAAATTGATGGTAGTAAAATTGATGGGTAGTAAAATTGATGGTAGTATAAAATTGATGGTAGTAAAATTGATGGTAGTAAAATTGATGGGTAGTAAAAATTGGGGATGGTAGTCAAACATTGATGGTAGTAAAAATTGATGGTTAGTAAAATTGATGGTAAGTAAAATTGATCGGTAGTAAAATTGATGGTAGTAAATGATGGTAGTAAAATTGATGGTAAGTAAAAAATTGATGGTAGTAAAATTGGATGGTAAGTAAAATTGAATGGTGTAAAATTTGATGGTAGTAAAAATTGATTGGTGTAAAATTGATGGTAGTAAAATTTGATGGTAGTAAAATTGAGATGTAGTAAAATTGATGGTAGTAAAAATTGGATGGTAGTTAAAATTTGATGATAAGTAAATAAGATAGATAAGGTTAGTAGTAAAAGGGAGGAAATTAAGACAGGTATTCGGTTACAATGATCTTAGAGATGTGGTGTTGATGATTCAGAGGCAGCTTAGTACAGGTATTTGTAACGCAAAATTAACCTAATACAATTCGCGTATGTGGCAGTCATTACAGGTCTCCTAAGCCCTTTCAATGGCCCATTCGCTCCTCAGCTCGAAGCCCCAACTGCCGAGCGGAAGAGCGCGTCGGCCACTGGCCTCTTCCAGCGCGTCTTCCAGAGGCCGGCGCCATCCTCGAGCTATCAGCCGCCGCCGCCGCGCGGCCAGCGCCCGCGGGGCTCCGTTACAATCCCCACCGGTTTCGCAGCCGTGTAGGCAGGATCATGTTCGCGTGTTGTGCAAACGTGTAATGCATTTATAATGCACGAAGCGTGCGTGCGGCGGCGGAGGGGAGAGAGAAGGGAAGGGGAAGGGACGGGGAGGCCGGAACGGTCAAGAGGGTGTGAGGGGCAGGGCAGCGGGGACGGATGGGAGTTGAAGGCTGCAGGCGCCCGACAAGCTCCGGAGAAAGCGCGTCGCTACACCTCGCTTGAATACCGCATCATCTCGTTATTTCCAGGAGTCGGAGCGGAATAATCTGCAGCGCTGAGCTGCCTTTTTTACAATTAGTTTTTCTCGCCTGTATCGGCTTCATACTAATGGTCACGCAAGTACGAGTAATCATTCTCTTTGCGCTCGACCTCCATTTCATTGTATATATTTCTTGTAAAAGGTACCTCCATTTGTTTCGAGTTTCGTGTTTATGAGTATTTCGTATCGACAAGTCGTTTAAAACTCCTTCTGGGGGCTATTTCTATGCTGCATAAGTAGAGGCAAATTACTTTCTATTTAATTGAAAGCTCTGCAAAACTAAATTTCCTGTATTGAGATCATTGAAGTTTCTTTATTTTATAATTACTTTTCAGTGACTATTATGGAGATGTAAATAACACGAATTAATAAATAATAAATAATATAATAATAATAATATAATAATAAATAATATAATATAATAACTAATATATAATATAATAATAACTAATATAATAATAATAATAATAATAATAATAATAAATAATAAATAATAGAGTGCGCTCTGAGTGTCTGTGTATCTTAACTTTAGACAATAGTCCGCCGGGGGTAAAGAGTAAATGCAGAAATTCATGTATTGATATCATATTAATCAAGATATAATATTTAGCATTCAACAAAAGGAATGTTACGTATATGAATGCAATTTTTATATTGTGTAAATGGTGCACTGATTTAAGTATAAAGATAAATGATTTAGTTGTCAGACTGCGTTGAAAACTTTCTCTTTAATTATTCCTCCTATCGTATCAGTTAATTTGCCAAAATATGAATGACTTTAATGAGTATCATTTATTTCTTTAATAAAAGTAAAACCTGGATTGAACGTAAAAAAAATTATGGTTAAGTGTTAGAGGAAACAATCGTGAAACTAAGTCCTGAAAGTGAGCAGTAGTTCTCAGTCACAGTTATACAGTTTGATATATTGCTCCTCCAATATCTGCTAATACATACAAATTAATGGAGGGGCCAAGACAGAACGACAGTTTTTATCCTGGCACATTAGTAAAAATTAAAATCTATAAATAACGAATAGCAAAGAATTTGATCAGAGAGAAGGGTGGTGTGGTTAACCTGAACTCCAATTAGCTTATGGCTCTAATTAACCTTCACAAGCAATCGGGGGTTCGTGTGTCCGTTCACCAAATAATGCATGGTTAAACCGTAGAATGAGAAAGATATGCTATTATTCTCAAAAGCTCTTTTTCAGATACTATTTGGGCAAGTGTGGTGGTCATTAAAGGTATCTGGTGACAAACTAATGCTTTCCGGTATTCGTCAGAACATTTCAAACAGGAGACTCGAAAAACGTGTTTATTTTTGTTTTAAACTTCTAAGACGCATTTTTCTATTTTGTTGTAGGGAATCTCTAGACAAGACAATATTGATTGACACTAATTTTACCAAATCTTCAGAATATTCTGGAAGATTCAAGGGAAAACGTCTTTTAGGGGCTTTCTTGGCACCTACATTGGTGACAAGAATTACATTTACTACCTCCGGCATGACATGAATACTTATGATTTCCTTCATGAGATTACGTCAATACAACGCAAGTCCAAAAAATGAAGTATGTTAATGATTTAATCCTGGAATACACAGACGTTGCCAGGGCAACCCAGAAGTATTTTGAATTTACTCTATTGCGCCCAGGTTGAGTTTTTTTCGTCACACGCCGGTTATTCCTATTTGAGTAGGTTATCTTTGCGCCTTTACACGTGGTTTATGCATGTCCTTTTCATTACTTATGTAATTTTTCGTACGGTATTTGGGTTACTGAACGAACCCCTGCGTATTAGAAATTTGGAATTGAAACATCGGTCTCAAATCACTACAGATCGAGAAAAAGAACTGCCAAAATAAACTAGATGCGGCGGACAATGTGAAAGAATAAAAGGATAGAAAAACAAAATATTTTGTAATAA